ATATATATTTATTTATTTATTTACGATTGATTGATATTTATTTTATTGATAAAAAATTTATTTGTATGTTTTTTATTCAATTTTTTATTTCTTGATGGGAGGATCAAAATTTCGTATTTTTAAAATAAAATGACAAAAATGAAATTTAGTCTTTTTTTTTAATAATTTTTTTACCAAAAAATATGTTATGAGAGCAACAATGATTATTTTTTATTAAACATGGTTAAATAAATAAAAACATTCTTGTTGGAGAAATTGCCTCCAATTTGCCTCTTATCACTATTCTCGTTGTTATTATCATTGTTGTTGTCGTAACCAACAATAAGTAATGGTTGTAACAATGTGATGCTACTATTACCATCATCATCACCCACCATCATTATAGCTATCATCATCATCATTGTTGCCTCAATTGTTAGTCACACATGACAATGACGATAATGACAGTGACAATGATAATAAAATCAATAACAATAATAGATAGTAATAGTGATGATAAATTTTTTCCTTATATTTGGATCAAGAATAAAAATTGAAGTTAATTAATAAAGGTTGTCAAAATTTTGAGGATTTGAATGATTAGAAACGATTAACTTATTTGAGTAGTTACATTGACGGTTAATTTTTTTTATTATTTTAAAATCTAAAGATAAAATTGTTTAATAAAAAGTTGAGATTAAAAGTAATTATAAATCGATGTATCTCTTTTATATATAGATATAAATATATAATAAAATTTTATTATTGATAATTCAATTATAATTCAAAGAAAAATATCTTTTGTTGTTGAAGATAAATGTACTCCCAAATAAAAAAAATTAAAAAACCTTATTTCATTTGAAGATATAATAATAAATTATATAATAATTTGTATATCTATTTTTATCTTTATCTTTCCTTCATACTATTATTTAGAACAAACTACATTCATTTTTCTAAAAGATTTAAATATTACACTAATTTATGTTAAAATGTAAAGTCTTTTCTCTCCTCCCAACAAATTAAAATATATGTCACTTTAAAAAAAAAATATTACTAAAATATCATTTGCACATAAATATCAAATTTTAAGAAAATATTGTGAAAGTTCTGTAAGTTTCTATCGATAGAATGTTATCATTAAAATATCATTTACATTAACACTCCTTAAAGATTTATTTCACCTTCCTTCTTACACATTCTTTTGCCTTTAATAAATTATTCATTTAATATTTTAACATAACATATTTTAAAACTGTTAAACATATATATTTTTAACTGAGTCTATATTAAACTAAAATATAATTATTGCAAAATTTAATAATTATATGTATAATTATTATATACATTATACATTATTAAAAAAAAATTGCTACGATTATGTCAACAGAAGCATAAAAAACCTTTTTTTTTACCAGTTTTAATAAACTATTTTAAATTCAATTATTTATTTCATGAAAAAAAAATTATCAAGTAAGTGAATGACACTTAATAAATTAAAAATACTTTAACTAAAATATTTTAAAAATATTATAATAAATATTCTTTAATGATATTAAGTTAAATACTCGATATTATATATTTTAATATATATTTAAATATATTTTTAATTTTTTAAATTTAAAATTAATATTTTAAGTCCAAGTAAATAAATAAAAAATATTATCCTAGTGCCTCACCAATAATATTATTAATAATAACAAATTAAAATTGTTATATAATATTAATTTAATTTAATATAATATTTTACTGCTACATACTCTAGTAGGTAAATTTGTGCGATAGATTTAATAATAAAAAAATTATTTGGTAGATTAGTGACAACATTAGTAAATAAGGATTAAAAAACTCAATTATAAATTCAAAAAATAGGAAATAAATTTACTTTATATTAAAAAATTATATTTAAACTTTTAATATAATATAAGAGTAATAGTATAATATTTAAATTTTTCAAGAAAAAAATTATTTTATTTTAGATTTTAACATACAAACTATAGAGAGAGAGTGATGTAAAGAAAGTATAATTTTTTTAAATTGTTAAATTAAATTATACTATCTTTTAACTTCAAAAGAGGAAAGAACGCAATAGTATCATCTTTCGAACAAATAAGGTAATTTATTTTATTATTTATTATATTTCCTATACAGATTTTTTTTCTTCTACATAATTATTTATTACATCTTGAATTTCTTTCTTTCTGAATTTAATTATACAAATAACTGCGTACATTTTTTGTGCATATTTTTTATGGTACAGTATAATATATTTATATTTTAAATTTCTTCTTTTTTTACATTATATTCCCTTAGTTTCAAATTTTTTTGTGAATTGTTAATTTAAATATAAATATAAAAAAATAATTATTTTACTTCGTTTAACAATGATATCTCAGAAATATTTTGCTTTTGATTGAGATTTTATTTTTAATGATATTTTGTTTTAATATTAAATTGTAATGAAAAATAACACTTAAAAGTATTTTTACTAAAAGTTGTTAGATTGAGCGCTTACCACTAGGCCAAAAGCTATAGTTGATAGTCAGGGCGTAACTCTTTTTACTTAAGAGCGCAGCAGCCCAAGCGCCATGATTCGACAGTGACTTGACCCACCTAGCCTCCGTCACGGGACCATTGATGCAACCCGCTATAATTTTTAATGATATTTTGTTTTAATATTAAATTGTAATAAAAAATAACACTTAAAGTATTTTTACTAAAAGTAATAAAATTGGACTGAGTATTAATTAATTTTGTTAATGAGCATATGTAAATTAGGCGTTTATTTTAGTTGTAATATATAATAAATGAGAATTAGGAGATGAGAGTAAGTTGTTTCATTGGGAGATTGCAATAATCCCTTGCAAGTGGCAGAACGGCCCTGATATGATATCCCCTTCCTTTGGTGCAGCCAGCAGCGTTGAAACTGGGAACTAGGAATACAACATACAACCCTCTCCTCATCACACCCCTCCATTTTTCATTTCATCACATCTCAACACAACACAAACCTACGAGGTGCTTTCTTGTTCCTTCTTCCTCACTTTCACTTTCTTCTTTCCTCTAAACCCTCTCTCTCTCACTAGATCGAACCCAAAGGCTCGCACCCATGACAACACAATCATCCAATCCTAAGCCAACCGTTTCTTACCGCTAAGGTCTTCCATCTTCTCCTCAATTTTGCTTCCTAGAATCTTCTTCTAATTATACTTGTCAAAATAATTATCTGTCTTTTTTTCCCCCTAAATTCGTGTTTGCCAAACCCTAATCCGCAACACTTCAACCTAGCTTCCCTTCATTTCAAGCTGAATTTCAGTAATTTATCATGGGTTCTTTCCACAATTGTGGTCAACCCTGTTTGTTGGATCTGGGGTTGTTCGTGTTTGCGGCAAATTTAGGGTTTATTCCCAATTTCGTCTCAAATTTTGGGGCTTTTCATTTCTGATTGTTCAATTTCGTTACCAAACTCACCCTCGAACATGGGTTTCTTCGATTTGTGTTAATTTTGTGGAAAGATTCTCGGTTTCTTTTTTTTTTTTTTCTTTTTTTTTTGTTTTTCATTTCTTGCAATTGAAAATTGTAAGAAATAAAGCTTCTTTCTAACTTGGTGGTTGGAGCTGCGATGGAGGACGAGACCTCCGATGCAATGAACCTTGATTTGAATCTGGGCCCAGGCCCAGAGCCCGAAAGTGGGCCCATAAGCAATGAAGGTGTGAACTTGGACGATTGGATAGGAGAGCCTCTTCAGAGAATTAGCGAGGCTGTGAGGTATAGGGCAAGGCAAAGATGGCGATGGCGGCATCTACCTCATCCTCCAGAGCTTCATTTGCCAGATTTTCGTTTGCCACCTGAGGCTCAAAATATCTCGGTGGAATTGAACCAGTTTTTGGCCAATTCTGGTCATGGAAGCGCCTTGCAGGCTGGGGAAGGCAGCGTGGCGGCCGAGGAGAGAATGGAGGAGGCTCCGAAGGCGTGTGAGAATGTGAATGGCGTGGCGGAGAACGAGGGTTCACAGAAGAAGGATGATGTTGAAAAGGGTGGTGGCAATGATGGAGACTTTTTTGATTGTAATATCTGTTTGGACCTGTCTAGGGAACCTGTTGTGACTTGTTGTGGTCATTTGTTTTGTTGGCCGTGCCTGTATCGATGGCTGCATCTGCATTCGGATGCCAAGGAGTGTCCAGTTTGCAAGGGAGAGGTCACTGTTAAGAGTGTTACCCCAATATATGGCCGTGGGAACAATGTCCGTGGTCCTGAGGAGGATTCTGCTATTAAGATCCCTCCTAGGCCCCAAGCAAGGAGGGTTGAGAGTCTGAGGCAAACCCTTCAGAGAAATGCATTTGCACTCCCTGTGGAAGAGATGATTCGGCGTCTCGGAAGCAGAATCGATCTTACTCGCGATTTGGTTCAGCCAAATGAACAAGATGCAGCCCGAGAAACGGCGGAGAGAACCACTTCCTTGCTGAGTAGGTTCTTGACCGCACGAGGGATGAGGAGAGAGCAGCAGAATATAGGGACACCCCCGGGGGATGTAATGGGTTTGGCCCAGAACAATGTTAATGCTGCTGATGCAGGGGATAACCGTAGCAGGGTGCAATCCCATTTGCTTCGAAGAACACAATCACACAGAGCAACGCTTTCAACTCTTTCTTCGGCACTCACTTCTGCTGAAAGGTTGGTTGAGGCGTATTTCCGGAGCAATCCATTAGGTAGGAACCAAGAACAGGCTCCTCCTGTTGATGACAGAGATTCCTTTTCCAGCATTGGTGCTGTTATAAATTCAGAGAGTCAAGTGGACACTGCTGTAGAAATTGATTCCATGGTTTCCTTGTCAACATCCTCTTCTAGGAGGAGGAATGATGCTTCAAGGGTGTCTGATGTCGATAGTGGAGATTCTCGTGCTCCAAGGCGCAGGCGTTTGAACTGATAAACACTCATCTAGATCTTCAACTTATTACTATTCTATCATGTATCTCATATGAAAATAATTTTCCAACACCTATGTAAGTGCTTCTTGCTTTCATGTTATCTTATATTTATGAAGTTTTCACCGTTTACAAGTTTTGGTAGATTTATATCGGCTCTCTTGCAGTTTAAGAATCTTCTTTAAGGATTCAACTATTTTAGAGTATTGTCATCTAGAAGCTGATTTTTGCTGTAGAATAACCCAGCTACTTAGCATTTATGGGCTGGGGCATTTGGAAGAGTTTGCATGGAGCTGGTATGACTCTGTGAAAATGGTTTATGATTATTTTCAAGTTCTTTTAACTTATTTCAACAAGGTTCATGATGAAATTTATCAACAAAAAAAAAATCCTTTGTTTTTTTTAGTAGATTTAATATAATAATCAAAAAACCTTTTAATTTTTAATTAAGCTATTTATTTATCCAAGTGCATCCCAGAAGGATCGAATGAACGCGATTTATAGTCAAAGAAGCAGAAGTAGAAGCAGTTTATGTTTATCTGCTCATGCAGTTAAGGTTCCATAATCTGACCTTCATTTTCCAACAATGGTGCGAACTTCTGTTTTTTTGTTTTTTGTTTTATTTTTTATTTGAGCGCTCATAAAATCCTTCTTCAAATCTTATTCCTATTATATCATATTTAAAGCAAGATAATAGGACAATAGCATCATGGCATTACCTTCGCTGATTGGACTGATCTATAATAAAAACCTGTCTTCAGAATTCAGATTCAGTCAAATAATTTTTGTAGGAAAAAACAGATATAATGCCAACGATTATTCCAAGTAATTTTCTAGTTCTTGTTTCATTTTGCTGACCCCATGTCCCCATCTTGTATGCTGATTGGTGTTTGCGAATTTCCCTCGTAGGGATTTGTAAGGAATCCCTGTAGTACAATATTTTACAATTCTGAAGCTGCTCGCTTCTTATTTGCAGAATCTTGAATGAAATAGAATCTATTTATAACGAATAAATTCTTGTAATACTCGGCTTTGTAGCACTACAAAATTTTTAGTTGCTTTGATTTAACTTTTAAGATTTTATAATTTGTTTGGTTTGAAAAACTATTTTTATTTTGTTTTCATCAATAGCTATCCATTATCTTTTGCTTTGAAAGATTTCCACAACAAATAATGAAAGCTAACAAATAATTACTTAAAATTAGGAAATAATGAATAATGTGACAATTTTATGATTATTCCTGAAAATAAATAACGTTTTTTCAAAATATATGTTTGCATAATTCACTTCAATACTCAGAGTACCCTTCACTTTTGTTGTCTAAAACTCCTGTTCTAATAATGCATCTCTCCTCGTACTAGATGTTAACCAAGTTTGTTTTATTTTGTGAGATACAAAGTATTCATTAGTGTGATTATCTTATACTGACTTATTTCTTCTCGCATATTCAAAGGGAAATCAGGCTTCTTGATTTATTTGTCCCGGATGCAGGTTGTCTTTTAAGGGCATGTGTAGATAAATTTTGCTATAAATATTTATAAGAGAAGAAAATAGAATTTTTTTCAAGTTAAAATTAGTTTATATAAGAGTTTGTACAAAATTAATTTATATATAAATTTTTATTTTTTAGAGAATTTTATTTTATTTTTATTTCATAATTTTTTTTCTTCCGAATTTATCCTAACATATAACTCTTGGAAGTCATCAACGGTAGATGTTTAGTGACCTGCACTACTTGAGAATTGAGATGGATGCGTGGTTACGGTTAAGTTAATCTAATGTTTGGACCTTCAATTTCATCTATTAACCTTCGACAACCATCTTGCCATCTTCTCCTGAGGTGAAACAATTAAAAAATTTAAGGAATTGTTTTAATTGCAAAAAAAAATAAAAAAACTTATATTCTTAATTAATAATTTTTTTTACTTTATTTTTGTTTTAAAAAATTGTATCAGAAATAATAACATAACTTTTATTGTTTCTTATATAAATGCCGACAAGATTAAAAAATACTTATAAGTTATTTATGAATAAAATCTTTATATCGGTAATGAAAATTGAATAAGAAATGAGCCCACTTCCTTACGAACTAGACTAAACGAGCTTTAGTGTATACTATTGAGTATTAACAACTTTTTAGGGTCCAGCAAAATTTCAGCTTCATTAGATTTTATAGTCTGATTAGCATTACCAGATCAGGCCCATCTATTGTGCAGCTCAACATGTAAGCTCAATACATCAGAATATAAACCCTAAACAAATTTTAAAGGTCACAATGAGGCTTTTTTTATTTTGTATTTTGTAACAAATAAAATATTTGTTTTGACAACACCAATTGAACCTGACTGCAAATGCTTTCTTGTATATTTTCTCGGGTCTGCTGATCTAGAAAAAGGAAAAGAAAGGCATGATATTAACATGCGATCCCTCAATGAATCTCGTACTTCGAAAAATTAGTACTTAACATTTGGTTAAGTACTGCTGAAAAAAAAAACTGATTTAGAAATATCATATTTTATTTAAAAATTTTAAAATAAAATAAAAATTGAGGTATTTGAGAATTTGAGTCGTTAGAAGTAGATACGTTATTTGAGTTTGTTCGGGTGGTTAATTTTTATTATATTTTTTATTTAAATATTTAAGAATAAAGTTATCTAGAAAATATGGACATGGAAAAGTGGTTATACACCCATGTATCTTTTATATATATATATAGAGAGAAAGAGAGGAGGGATTCACTTACTCGAATAGTAAGTTTTGATAGATTTACCTTACTCAATAATTCATGTATTAGATTAAATTTCAAGGAACCGATCATTAAATTAAAAGTTTTGAATGCAATGATCAAATTTACAAGTTTTTAAAATCATATGATATTTCATTATATCTATTTCAAATCAATGTATATATGAAATATTTTTATAATTATCCATCAATTTGAATTAATAAAACGAAGTATCAAATAGTTTTTATTTTTTTTAATCTGTAGACTTGATTTGTATAGTAAAAAATCTAAATTCAAGGTTCAATAATTAAAATTTGATGTAAAATATGAGTTATTGAAGTTTTCCTCCCTCAAAGCTATGTTTTCTCTCAGTTTCTGTTCTAATTTTTTTTTCTATTTCACTCATTTTCTCTCTCTTCATCCTTTATATATGTCCAAGAAATTAAAATAGAGTATATTATAAGTGACCTATTCGCTTAGCTGTTTCCAAATGGTTGGGTGAATTTTAGAATTCTTCATAGTAAAAAAAACTCCATCTGTTGAGCCATTTTTAGTTCGTTGAGCCTTGTCTAAAATGAAAATTTCTTGCTCCTTTAGGCCGAATCCACTTACTCATTTGGATATGGTTGAGTGGATTTTTTTGATGTACTCTATTGCTCTTGGTCTATGATCCATTGAACACATGTAAATTTGTTGAGTGAGTTTGTGAAATTTTGAAGTCTTAAAACTTGATCAAATTTGCATGAAAATAAAGGTTCATAAGTTCAAAATCTATCAACTTTTCAAAAATTGACCTATTTACACATCCTTTTAATTCTTACAATATTTTAGGGGTTGAAAGCAAATTTTTCTTTTAAATTTAGTTAGATAAGTGTCAAAAAAGTTAAATTCTTTATGTAAAATTGACACTTATCATCTACCTACTACATATGCAATATCAAGTCTACAGAAATTCATAAGAAGCAGTAGGCTCCCAATGATTTGGGCATACTGAGATTAAGTAATAAGGTCCCCTCTATTTTTCTTTAATTGAGAGTTAGCATCATAAGAGTTGTTCATCGACTTAAAGTCATAATAATCAAAATTCTTGAGAATTTGCTCAACATAGTGTTCTTGGGATAGTAATATACTTAATACTATCTTCTTTCCTTATGATTTTAACTCCTATAATTACTCTTACTTCTCCCATGTCTTTCATATCAAAATTAGATTCCAAAAATGATTTAGTTCTTAAAACTATATCAAATGGATGTACCAAAAATTAATATGTCATCCACATATTAACATATTATGACACAATCACCATTCACAAATTTTGTGTACACGCATCTATCAACATCACTAGATTTAAAATCATCACTTAGCACAACATTATTAAACTTTTCATGCCAGTGTTTCGACACTTGTTTTAGACCATAAAGGGATTTAAAAAGTTTGTGCACTTTATTTTCATCACCATGGACCACACACCCTTCAGGTTAGGACACATATATCTCTTCCTCCAAGCCACCATTTAAGAAATTCATCTTCACATACATTTGGTGAATTGCTAAATTATAGGTAGAAGTTAAGGCTATCAAAACATCGATAGAGGAAATCCTAATAATTGAAGCAAAAGTGTCAAAGTAATCTATGTTTGGTTTTTTAGTAAACCCTTTAGACACCAATCTAGCTTTATACTTGCCTATAGATCCATTAGGGTTATACCTTTTCTTAAAGACCCACTTACACCCAATAGGTTTTGCTTTTTTAGGTAAATCCACTAATGTCCAAGTATTGTTCTTTTGGATAGAATCAATTTCAATCTTAATAGCTTGTTTCTAAAGTTTTGCATGTGAAGAATTAATAGCCTTAAGATAACTCAAAGGATCACCATTAACAAGGTAAGTATAAAAAGCATCTCTAAAAGATTTTTCTTTCCTTTGTCTCTTACTCCTTCTAATACCTTCACATATCTTTTCACTACATGCTTCATTAGTTTGTTCAAAACTATCATCAAGATCTTCTCTAGCATTATCACTGGTTCAAACCTTTAAATGAAATATGTTCTCAAATAATTCAACATTCTTAGTTTCAAAGATAGTATTGCACTCTAAAACATTACTTTTGAGGACAAGAAGCTCATAAGCAATACTATGGTCTGCATACCAATAAACATGCAATTAAAAGTTTTAGATCCTAATTTTATTTTCCTAGGATTAGATAAAAACACTTTGGCTAAGCACCCTCACACTCTCAAGTATTTCAAGTTTGGAAGATACCCTTTCCACAACTCATAAGGTCTCTCACTGGTTTTCCTATGTGAGATTCTATTATGTAACTAGCAATTAAAAGAGTTTTTTTCCCAAATATTAATAGGTGCAAAGAAACTAATAAGCAAATCATTAATCATTTCCTTAAGACTTTTATTCTCCCCTT